GGGTTCTCCACCCTCCCACTTCCCAGGGCTCCTCCTCCTTCTCCTCTCTCCCTTCTCCCTCCTTCTCCCTCCCGCTCTCCACCTTTTCATGTTGGGGAGCGGTGATGGTGATGGGGTGCACCAGAGAGGACCCTATGGAAGGGCCTCCAGAGTGGATGAACAAGAAAGCAACATCCCAGACAGCCCGCCCTCCCCAGGGGGTGGGGGGCTGCAGGGCCCCTGGGGAGGGGGTGGGGCGGGGGAGGGAATTGCGGCGTCGTGACTGCGCCCGCCCCCTGCGCCCTCCCGGGTAGGCGCCCCTGGCGACAGCCTTGATCGCCACACCCTCGGCCCGGTCCTGGCCCCGCCCCCGCCCGGGGAGGCGTGTACTGCTGCTGCTGCTTCGGGAGAGAGGGAGGAGAGAGAGAGAGCGCGCACAGGAGAGAGGGAGAGATGGTTGTTAGAGAAGGAATTCGGGCTTAACAAGTGAGCGCTGCTGTCTAGGATTTTTTTCCCTTCCCTTGGCTCCCTCCCCCTCTTTTTTTTTTTCTCACCCTATGTGTGGCCCTCGCGTCTCCTCCCAGTCGCTTCTGGGAAAGCAGATCTCTGGAGGAAACTGGACGCCTGGGTCCTTCCCAGGGTAGCATCATCCTCTCCCCCCGCCGTGCAGCAGCCGGGGCTCCTTTGCCTCTTCCCTCCCCGCCCCTCACTCCCGACGATCTGAGAAGTCACTGACTGGGCTTATTTTGGCCCCTCCACCTGCCCCCCACCTGAGTGCTCCTCCCATTCTCCTGGATCCCTCTTCGCCATCCATCCTTGTTGGCTTTTGGCTTGGGAAAACAGGGAGGACCCCCCCCCCCCCATCCCCTGCCTGGGAACGGTAAGTATCTTTGAATTCTTCTTTCCTCCCACCCCCCCTCCTGTGGGGGGGGGCACAGAGTTTCTGTTTAAAAACAAGGCATGGATGCGGGGCGGGGGAGGGGGCAGAAAACGAGGGGGGGCTACCAGGATCTAACAGAAGGGCATGAATGGAAGGCGGTTAAAAATAACCCTGGGAGGTGGGAGAAGGGAGGTGCAGAGGATGCTGTTTGCTCCTGTTGCTAACAGTTGTTATTTTCCCATTCCCGAGGAAGGGGCTTCGTGTCCCGGGTTTCCTATGCTTAGGCATGAACCTGTATCCGGAGGCGACTGTTCCATTAAAGATGTCGTTTCCCCAGCGGAGGGGGTGGGGGGGGCGGGTGTTCGGTTTAGCAGAGGCTGCCTGCCTCATCCCTGAGTCTGGTCCGCTGTTCCTTTGGGGAACAGCTGGTGAGCGGGTTTCGTTTGCTTGCTTGCTTCTCCCAGCTCTGAATTTGCATGTATTTTTATCAGCATATGATGAGCACACACTTAGGGGCTATATAAATGGCGCTTGTGTGTTGGTGTGCTTATTTCTCACTGTGGGTTGGCCTTTCAGATGTGCACACACATTCACAATCAGAAGGACCAGGTCCAGGTACCACCCTGGACCTTTGGGGGAATTAGAAATAAGACTAATTATATTCTGATGGAGGTGGTGGGTTTGGAGGGTAGAGGAGTAGAAGAAGTCTAAAGTGTGTGTGTATGTGGGGGGGAGGAATTGAGCATAATTCGATTAGCTATAAGTCAATATATCTGTCAACAAACATTTATTAAACACCTACTGTGCACACTCAGTATCTATGGGAATTCAGAGATAAAAAGGGATAGTAAAGGGGTTCCTTAGTTAGGTCCCTACTGAGAAGCCCTTGGGAGTAAATTTGAGTCAGCCTAGCTCACCCTGGGGAAGATCTGACCTAGTCAGGCTTGTTAGGTGGGAGGGAACTCTTTAAAGACAAGGGACAATGAGATAACTGGTGACCGATGACAGGGAAGGGAGATGTTTGAACAGAAGGAGAGGGGAATTAAAGAGTGACACCTACTCTCCCCTCACCCAACACACCTCCTAAATCAGTTTGTGGAGTGAGAGTGAGGGGCAAGTGGATATAGAGGAGACTGCCTAGCTTGTTGTCTGAGAGTCCTGAATACCCAAGGGCCAGGAGAAATAAGAAATTACACAGAGAAAGTTGTGGTTATATATTTTATCTATATACACAGGTTTCAATTTATGGATATATTTGTGGGGGCATTGGGAAGTATGGATAGAGAGAACTGAAATCACAAAAACAAAAAGCCACTTTGTGCTGATTTGACCTGACCTGATCCTTAAGGGGTCTCTGCTTTTATAAATTCTCTATTGTGAAAATAAACTCAGAGATGTAGGGATGTAGTTTACGTTTAGGGACTTGTAGTTCCTCTAGCATGCACAAATAATTTCTTAGGAACGTGGAAAAAGATAATGTAAGACACCTTGAGAGATACAGCCTCCCAGTTCTGTTGCCTGGGAAACCTCCAAATGGGGACTTTCCTTCCCAAGGAGAGCTCCCTTAATTGGGAGAGGTATATGGTCCCCATTTGCTACAACTGGGCTCCCATGACCTTAATGCTTTCTAGGACCTTTAGGGCTGACACACTTCAGTAAGGAGCAGCAGGTGGTCAAGAGATGGATTCTCTCAAAGATTCCCCAAAACCTTTTTCTTTTTGGTCCCATGCATCTGGATGCATCTAGTAGCAACAGAAGCTGAAAATGCTATCAGAAATGGTTCGTAAATTGCCCTTCTAATCATCCCCCAATTCCATGACCCTAAAGTCACTTCATGAATTCTATTGCATTATATAAAGGGAAGAGCAAGGGAGATAGGAGATTTGGGGCTTTACTAGGTGAAGACATGGATTTGAGGAGCCAGAAAGGGTATGAAAGATAAAGAAGATAGGTTGAAAGTTCAGAGGGAAACTCGGTGACAGTGGAACCCAGACTGGGCTTTGGAGGAAGGTATATTCTTCAGTAAAGAGAAGGTTGGAAGGAAATGTGGATGTTGACAACAACTAGTGAAGGTAAACCTTCTTGACTGAAAAGGGATATGATAGAGACCGTATGGTATAGTGGTTAGAGTGCTGGACCTAGAATTGACTCCCACCTCAGACACAATCTATAGGACTTGGGCAAATCCCTTAACCTCTCTGGATCTAAATTTTCTCTTCTGTCAAATGAGGGGGTTAGCTTTGATAACTTCCAAAGTCCCTTCCAGTTCTAAATCTGTGAACCTATAAGCTCCCATGTGGGAATTGTGCCAACACTCTTAAAAGCAAACTTGGGGGGAAGGAAAGAGGTGGATTATTAGGAACTGGGATTAATTGCCCTACCTCCTCTTGGGAGGGAACTAATTTGGAGTTTGGAGACATGCTATTACACTCAACCAAAATGTGGGGAAAAGGTTGAGGGGATTGGGAATATTTCTGCCTAAATCAGCACTGGAGAGTATAGGCTAGAATAGACCTCTTCTCGGCCCTCTCCCTTGCTCAGAGTGCGTGTGGGGATTCTCAAGTATGCCTAGGGTCCAATGGATAGCAGAAACATAGCATAGCTACTCTGGGCTGGAATAACTTTAAACCTTTAAGTTATGGAATGATAGGTGTTGGGTGAGGGAGGAGCTTATGTAATACCTGAAAAAGACTGTAAGAATGTTGTAAAAAATGGTGAAAGAAATGGTGAGCAGCAGAAACACCCCTGAAGAGTGATAGAAGGTTGATAATGAGAGTTTAGAATCAGCACTGGATAGCTCATCAGAAGATCTGGGTTCTCCTCACAGCTCTTCCCCTACCCAGGCAACTAAACTTGAACAAGGGCCATTCCCTCTGAGACTCAGTTTTCTCATCTGTAAATTAGACCTGGAAGATCTCCAAGGACCCTCCTAGTTCTCACAGCCTCTGGTTTTGTAATTTTCTTATTTGTAATAGGTGAAAGCAAGGCTTAGGTTGAGAATCATGTGGGGATAGAATAGAGAAAAGAACAGACTAAAAGGTGCAAAGAAAACAGACTGAGTAATGGGGTAATTGGGTCAGAAAACAGACTAAAGTGGGATTAAGAAAGAAAAAAAAGCAAGTGAGCAAGGGAACAGACTATAACACACTTTTAGCAAATGTATGGCTTTTGACTGTTCATTTGAGGTTCTTTTCTTTCACTTAGGCCATTTAAAATGAGAGCTTGGGACCCTGGAGATCCAGTGAGCATCCAAAAGAGGACCATTTAGGTATTCACATGGAGGTCCAAGACAAGTCGGTAGTTGATATTTTTTATTAGGAAAATGACAGTTTTTCCTCTTCTCCCCCTCTCCCACCCCACCCCGTTTGTTTCTTCTCCTCTTCAGGTCAAGTGCAACTTCTACATGGTCTTAGCCAAAGAGTGACTCATCTCCACCTCCGAGTCTTCTATGGAGACCTCAGAGTTGAGTCTGACATTGCAGTGGCCTCTTGTACCCTCTGTTGCTCCTAAAGTCTTTGCCTCGGCCCATCCTTTGCCCCTGGGCTTGAGACATTGTTGATGGACTGATGTGTAGGGGGCTTCAAAGTCCTCCTTGCTGAGCTTGAGAAGCAATGGCAGGACCTACATCACAACACCTGATGTGGGTTAAACCCTCACCTGAAGGCAGATGTTAAAACTAAAGACATCTTGTTCTTTTATTTGAGTTTGATAGACCAAGTTCTGGACAATTTCCATGGCAGGAGAAGAGAATGCCTTTTCCTGGTGCCATTAGTAGCTGGCTAATGCTTGCTCTTTCTGAACCTCAGGACGTGCTCATAGACTGGTTCCCAAACCATTTCTGTGTTTGGAGTTCCCAGGCATAAAGGAATGCTTGGGAAACCCCATTTCTGACCTAGACTTGAAACTGCTGCTGTTGGATCCTGCACAACCAAGGTCAGTGGTACAATGTGGAACTCATGAGAGGCAAGAGGTTAGGGAGCAGCTAGGGTGGAAAATGCAAAGTTGGACTGGAATTATCATTGTTCTTCCAAGAAATCCACCTAAGCATTCAGAGCTTGCCCTGATTTGGTGAGGACAGGAACAAGCCGTTTCCTTACCATCCTTCTCTTCCTAGGGTCAGCCCTTACATAAAACCAGCACCATGGAGGTTGCAATGGTAAGTGCCGAGAGCTCGGGCTGCAACAGTCACATGCCCTATGGATATGCCGCTCAGGCCCGGGCACGGGAGAGGGAGCGGCTAGCGCACTCCAGGGCTGCTGCGGCCGCTGCAGTTGCAGCTGCCACGGCAGCGGTGGAAGGCAGCGGGGGCTCAGGAGGAGGCAGCAGCTCGCACCACCACCACCAGGCCCGTGGGGCCTGCTCTTCACATGACCCCCAGAGCAGCCGGAGCAGCAGAAGACGGCGGCGGCAGCAGCGGACGACAGAGAAGAAGAAGATCCCTCACAGACAGGGCAGCTTCCCTCACTGCTCAGACCTCATGCCTAGTGGCTCAGAAGAAAAAATCCTGAGGGAGTTGAGTGAGGAAGAGGAGGAGGAAGAGGAGGATGAGGAAGAGGAAGAAGATGGGAGGTTTTATTATAGCGAAGATGACCACGGGGATGAATGTTCTTACACGGACTTGCTGCCTCAAGATGATGGGGGTGGGGGTGGCTACAGTTCTGTCCGCTATAGTGACTGCTGCGAGAGGGTGGTCATCAATGTATCCGGCCTCCGCTTTGAGACCCAGATGAAAACCCTTGCTCAGTTTCCAGAGACCCTACTGGGGGATCCTGAGAAAAGGACTCAGTATTTTGACCCTTTACGGAATGAGTATTTTTTTGACCGGAACCGGCCCAGTTTTGATGCCATCTTATATTATTACCAGTCAGGGGGGCGTTTGAAGAGGCCAGTCAATGTCCCTTTTGACATCTTCACTGAGGAGGTGAAGTTCTACCAGCTCGGAGAGGAGGCCCTCCTCAAATTTCGGGAAGATGAAGGCTTTGTGAGGGAAGAAGAAGACAAGGCTTTGCCAGAAAATGAGTTCAAGAAACAGATCTGGCTGCTCTTCGAGTACCCGGAGAGCTCCAGCCCAGCGCGGGGCATCGCCATCGTCTCCGTCCTGGTCATCTTGATCTCCATCGTCATCTTTTGCCTGGAGACTCTGCCAGAGTTTCGGGATGAGAAGGAGACTACCATGGCCATGAATGCTGGCGGGCGGGGGCTGATGCCCAATGACACCATGTCCTCTCACCTGGAGAACTCCGGACACACGATCTTCAATGACCCTTTTTTCATAGTGGAGACAGTCTGCATCATCTGGTTCTCCTTCGAGTTTGTGGTCCGCTGCTTTGCCTGCCCGAGCCAAGCCCTCTTCTTCAAGAACATCATGAACATCATTGACATTGTTTCCATTTTGCCTTACTTCATCACGCTGGGCACCGACCTGGCCCAGCAGCAAGGGGGTGGCAATGGTCAGCAGCAGCAGGCCATGTCCTTTGCCATCCTGAGGATCATTCGCCTGGTCCGGGTTTTCCGGATCTTCAAGCTTTCCAGACACTCCAAGGGCCTTCAGATCCTGGGCCACACCCTCAGGGCCAGCATGCGGGAACTGGGCCTTCTGATCTTTTTCCTCTTCATCGGGGTCATCCTGTTCTCCAGTGCTGTGTACTTTGCCGAAGCAGATGAGCCTACTACGCATTTCCAAAGCATCCCGGATGCCTTTTGGTGGGCTGTGGTGACCATGACAACTGTGGGCTATGGGGACATGAAGCCCATCACGGTGGGGGGCAAGATAGTGGGGTCCCTGTGTGCCATTGCAGGTGTGTTAACCATTGCTTTGCCCGTGCCAGTGATTGTTTCCAACTTTAACTATTTCTACCACAGAGAGACTGAGAATGAGGAGCAGACGCAGCTGACCCAGAATGCCGTCAGCTGCCCGTATCTCCCCTCTAACTTGCTGAAGAAATTCCGGAGCTCAACTTCTTCTTCTTTTGGGGACAAGTCTGAGTATCTGGAGATGGAAGAAGGAGTTAAGGAATCTCTTTGTGCAAAAGAGGAAAAATGTCAGGGGAAGGGGGACGACAGTGAAACGGATAAAAAAAACTGCACCAATGCCAAGACTGTGGAGACTGACGTGTGATGCTCTCCCCCTTCCAAAGTTTCCAAATCTATTTATGCATAGAGAGTGCAGTGAAGAAGCTGAAATATGCAAATGAGTCTAATGCATACAGTAGTACACCATTTATTGGTTAAATGAGATCTAATTATAACTAAACTTGTATTACATATCAAGCAGATGATATACCTTGTAGAGGGGGTTGGGGCTAAATGAAAGCAAATCAATCTTTATATTTTTATTAGAATGCAAGAGTTTTGCACATCAGTTGGAAGAGATGATAAAAAAAAAGCCAAGATCATTTGACAGGGAGTCTGTGTGTGTGTGTGTGTGTGTGTGTGTGTGTGTGTTCGAGTGTGTGTGTGTGATGTCAACATTGCTAGTAATTAATTAATGATAGCAGAAAAAAGTTGGCATTGGAAGTATTTACTATGTAAGAATGAATCCAGTCAAATGGTCATTTACCAATGCTTTCATAGAATCTCTCAGAAATCATTGGATTCCATAGTGGTTGTTTTTCCAAAAATTTGTATGAATTGCTGTGTAGACTTATGGAAGTAAATTGTCTAACAGAATAGAGGCCATGGTTTTATCCTGGATTTATCAGAGTTTATTTTTAACTGGAAATTAACTTTAAAAAAAAAGTCTGTATGGGTCCACAGAAATCAATTATTTTTATTATTAATTTTGGAAAGGCATCAGTAGCAAGTGTTGACAAAAATCCTGGAGGACGTGAAATTGGTTGAAATGTACTGAGGTTGGGACCATAAAATAAAGGGACTGGAATGCTTTTTTTTTTTTTTTTGCACTACTTTTATGCTGGAGATCGATCGAACAAGACTTCAAACTGTGAATGTTTACTAATGTTACAGTTCAATGACAATCATTGGAAGAATGATTTCTGGGTCTTATTTGATTGTTCTCCATTTTTCTTTGTGTGAGACTGTTAGCCACACAGATAACAGCATATTGATTCCATCCTCTTTTAAAAGTATAAATAACTGTGATCTGGAAAAGGAATTGTGAAGTAAAAACTCGCAACCAAGCCTTTTGAAATTGGTCTGTTACAATGATGCTTCTGAAAATAAGACTATTTTAAATGTTTCTTTAAAAAAATTAAACTTAGAATAATCTAGCTAAGGTTAACAATGCCCTGCTAAAATTCTGAAATGAGTGGAAGGCCCAGCAACTGCAGTTGATGGGTCTTAAGACCTGACTAGTGAGTGGGCTATACCTTCTTCCGTAAGTGCAGGGAAAAGGCAACATGATGCAGTGGAAAGATTGTGGCAGTTAGTATCGGGGCAGCTGGATTTGAACCCTGCCTCTGGCACTTCTCTGTGTGACTGGGGGGCAAATCTCTTCCTTTCTCTGGGCCTTAGTTTTGTAAAATAAGGGGGCTGGACAAGAAAATCAATTTCTATTTTCTTTTCTAGCCCTGTGTCTATGAGTGCAGGCCACAATGACATTCTTTTCATTCATCCATTAAAAGAGTTTATGAACCTAGAGTTTATTCTCACCCAGTCACCCTGATAGCCCCTTGCCTTCTTTTCCTTCTTCAAGGGAAGCCTCTCTACATAAATTACATTCAGAATTTTGTATCCCAGTAAAACTAAAATCAGCAGAGATAATGCTAAGCCACTCTGTGTTGTGAAAGTATTGTTCTCAGCATCAGAATTAATTTATTCAATGCCTATCTGCACATGGCTAGGTGCCATTGACATAGAGTCAGCTAGATGTAATGGATAGAGTGATAGGAGCCAGGAAGACCTGAGTTTGAATCTAACCTCAGACACTCGCTAGCCTTGTGCCCTTGGATGCGTCACATACCTTTTCTCATCCTTAATTTCCTTATCAGAGAAATGGGGATAATAATAGTACCTACCTCACAGGGTTGTTGTGAGGGTCAGATGAAATGATGTAGACTAAGTACCTGAAAACCTTCAAGTGCTATATAAATGTTAATTATTATTATTGTTGTTGTCAATAATAATAATGATTAAGAGCGCGAGCTGCCCAGTAGCATCCTACCTTGAAGTTTAAAGGATTATTGAAATGTAGATCAGAAAACTTAGTGGGAATAATAAGCGGCATAAAGAATTCTTGATTCCTCTCTAACTTGTCACCCCTTTTTTTTTTCCACATATAGAGACACTCAGTCTTAGAGAAGCTCCTTGTAGACCGTGCTTGCATAGGGTCACCTTCTACCAAATGGGAACTTTAAGAATATGGTTAATTTGGAATGCAGCCAGATAGAAATTCATTTAAATGCTATTGGACACTGTTAAAATGGCTGCCCCAAGGTTCCAGCTGGAAAGTAAAGGATCAAGTCAATAGAGAAGCCTAATCAATCTGGTGGACCATGGGACTAATACTCCATTTTTTCTTCTTGTAATGTTTCTGAGTGGTGTTAGACAAGTAGTGGTGAAGGCAAGGATCCAGGACCTGTGGGAAGCTCGTCTGTCAATAGGCAGCTGTGTGACTTTGGGCAAATCACTAAGCACTGTTCTCTTGAGTTCATTCCTTAGTAAAATATTCTATCTGCCTTATCTGCCTTAACTGGGTTGGTGTGAGAGTCTCGTGAGAAAGTGCTTTGGAAAGCATTGAATGCCTCCCAAAGCGCCAGGCATTATCCTGCTTAGCCTTTCTCATTAATAACTTCTGGGCCACATCTCCTTTTGTGAAATGCCCAGGTAATTTCTCCAGACATTCTGTGTTCCTTAAAGAAAGCTGGCATACAGACACAAGATATTTTTTACCGGTGAGTTGTCACTGGGATTTCTCCTGTGGAGAGTTCCAAGAGTGCTGGAGAATATGAAAAGAGAACCCTGAAGAAATGCCTTTGGTAGAGAAGGCATTGCCTCTTCTAAGTTAATACGAGGCTAGGTCAGATTGTCTCCAAATATTTTCCTGGTTCTCCCACAAAAGGTACTTCCTGAGCATTCTGTCCCAGCAGTGACTCATCTACCCTGTTTGGAATGGCAAACAATAGCTTAGAACCTTGGTGTTTCTTTTCACCTATGTGTTCTTTCCAGAGTGCAAGAGAGTCTATTCGGGGCCTCTGAGTTGACTGTCATCAGGGTACCACTAAATTAAAAATGGTCTAGGTTATTGGGTGTGTTCCTCTTGATTCTTATGCATGACATATTCTAGGGACTTAATGAGTACAAGTTAGATTGGTTACAAAGGAGGCAAGAAAGAATTCCACTGTCAATAGCATCTCTGTTGAGGCTGCCATTGTGCAGAAAGCACTCAGCTTGCAGTCCAAAGATCTGGAATTGAGTCATGACCTAGACATTTACTAGCTGTGTACTTGTGGCCGAGACACTGCCCCTCTGAGCATCAGTTTCCTCATCCATAACATGGGAATAAAGGAACTTGTACTGAGCAAAGCCCAAGATAATACATACTATCTCACACTTATATGTGGCTTTAAGATTTGCAAAACACTTTATATAATAACAGCTAACATTTATATAACACTAAGGTTGACTAAGCACTTTACATTATTGTCTTATTAGTTCCTACCACAATCCCTTTTGAGGTGGGTTCTATTATTACCTTATTTTACGAACCAGAAAGCTGAGGCTCAGAGAAGTCAGGTAACTGCCTCAAGTCATATGCCAAGCAAGTGCCAGAGACAGGGTTTGAACTCAGGTCATCCTAATTCCAAATCCAGTGCTCTGCCCATGATATTACACACTCTCATGTATACACACATGCATTGTACGTGTGTGTGTGTGTGTGTGTGTGTGTGACTCTTTTATGGAGCACTGCAATTCACTTGGCCAGATCTAAGTGTATTTAGCTTCAAAAGACTTACTGAATCTCAGAGATAGAAGGGAGGGACCTCAGAGGTCATATGGTTTAAAGCTTTCCTAGAACATAATTCAATGATGAAAAGATACACTTCTGTTCTCTGTTATTAAGTTAGGGCAACATGGAGCACCTCATGAGTTACCTAGAAGGCTGACAGGGAACCAAATCTATTTTCTCAGAATTGCATTTTGGTGTTTTGAGATTCTTCCAGTTAATTTCAAAACTGTAATGTATTTGGATAATGAATAGAGTTATAGTCTGGATTCCTTAGTAGGAAGAGATTGGACTGTAATTTCACTGGTCTAGAAAACTCCCAAGTGAGGAAATCCCTCCACTATTGTAGGTTGACCCTTTCTCTATACTGAGTGGTTTTAGAGATTTGTTAGACGAGGCGGTAAATGATCTCCCAAGGGTCACTCAGACTGTATGTGGCATGGGTGGGGCTTGGACCTCAGTGTTCTAGGCTCCAAGGACATTTCTCTCTCCACTCTGCCACTCAATCTCTCCATTCCTTGAAGGTCATGATTAGCAGTCATAATAGCTGGGACTATATAACATTTTAAGGTTTGCAAAATGCTCTCTGTGCTTTATCTTGCTTGATACTCCCAATAACTATATGCGGTACTATTATCTTATTTTACTGATGAGGAAGTCGAGAGCTTGAGTGACTGACCCAGGGTCATACACATATACTTGGGGACAGTCTGTGGCTGATACATTGTCCTCTCTTTTCACTAAAAAAGGAAGCGGCCATACTTAGTAATTGGGTCAGGGGAGGCAGGGATTAAAACATTCCTTCTGGTCGCTGTAAAAATCACTACAAAAGAAAGGCATTATTTCATAGTGAAAAGACCACTACACTGGGGAGTCAGGGGACCAGTTCCAGCTCAGGCTAAGTTATCCACTAGCTGTGTGACCTTGGATAAATCACATCCCTTCTCTGGGCCTTATGTGTAAATTGAGGGGATTGGACCAGAAGATCTCTAAAGTTCCTTCCTGCCTGGCACCTTGTGAAAGTTAGGTGAGCTTAGCAAATGAATGTTTGTTAGCAAATAAATGTTTTTTTTTTCCCATTTGGATCTCACCACTCCTTTAATACCCATGAAATCACGCACGAAGTTTCACAGAAGTAACTAAAACCCTGCTACCATGTGGCAAACCAGCACTCACAGACAGATCTTTTCACCTCCCAAACCTAAGCACCCAGC